GCTCTTCCAACAGCCCCCGAACATGTGCAACATAGCTCTCCACCTGATAGACCAAAAGTGGTAAATCCAAAAGGATGTTTTTAATAGTTGGCACTATTCTGTGCCCATTTAAAAAATGTAAAGGTATTCAATAATGTACTCTAGTCATGAGTCAGTGGTTTTAATGTGTCTATAGCTTTGAAGAAAAGAAGAAACATACACTGTTCAGCTGCACATTTGGGAAATTAGATCTAAAGGTCTATGACACTATTGCAACAGTTGGTAAGTTAAAAAACCAAAGAATGCAAAGTGCCTCACCTCCTTCATCTCATTGGCTTGCTGGGTACGCACAGTCTGCAGCTCCTGGGTAGCTGACTGAAGCTTTGCCTCACTGTTAAGCAGTAGCTGCCACAAGTGGTGCTGCCGCTCCTCTGCGCTGATCGATGGAGCAAAGCCATCCTTTTGAAGCCGCACAGATATCTGGTCCAGCTCCGTCTGCATCTGTGGACCCAGAGGGGGGACCTGAATGTTTTTTTGACCAGACACCATATTTATCAGTAGTATTCAACTGCTTTTCAAGTGAAATATCTTTCAGTACTATAGCAAATTAATACAGTGCCTTGCGAAAGTATTCGGCCCCCTTGAACTTTGCGACCTTTTGCCACATTTCAGGCTTCAAACATAAAGATATAAAACTGTAATTTTTTGTGAAGAATCAACAACAAGTGGGACACAATCATGAAGTGGAACGAAATTTATTGGATATGTCAAACTTTTTTAACAAATAAAAAACTGAAAAATTGGGCGTGCAAAATTATTCAGCCCCCTTAAGTTAATACTTTGTAGCGCCACCTTTTGCTGCGATTACAGCTGTAAGTCACTTGGGGTATGTCTCTATCAGTTTTGCACATCGAGAGACGGAAATTTTTGCCCATTCCTCCTTGCAAAACAGCTCGAGCTCAGTGAGGTTGGATAGAGAGCGTTTGTGAACAGCAGTTTTCAGTTCTTTCCACAGATTCTCAATTGGATTCAGGTCTGGACTTTGACTTGGCCATTCTAACACCTGGATATGTTTATTTGTGAACCATTCCATTGTAGATTTTGCTTTATGTTTTGGATCATTGTCTTGTTGGAAGACAAATCTCCGTCCCAGTCTCAGGTCTTTTGCAGACTCCATCAGGTTTCCTTCCAAAATGGTCCTGTATTTGGCTCCATCCATCTTCCCATCAATTTTAACCATCTTCCCGGTCCCTGCTGAAGAAAAGCAGGCCCAAACCATGATGCTGCCACCACCATGTTTGACAGTGGGGATGGTGTGTTCAGGGTGATCAGCTGTGTTTCTTTTACGCCAAACATAACGTTTTGCATTGTTGCCAAAAAGTTCGATTTTGGTTTCATCTGACCAGAGCACCTTCTTCCACATGTTTGGTGTGTCTCCCAGGTGGCTTGTGGCAAACTTTAAACGACACTTTTTATGGATATCTTTAAGAAATGGCTTTCTTCTTGCCACTCTTCCATAAAGGCCAGATTTGTGCAGTATACGACTGATTGTTGTCCTATGGACAGAGTCTCCCACCTCAGCTGTAGATCTCTGCAGTTCATCCAGAGTGATCATGGGCCTCTTGGCTGCATCTCTGATCAGTCTTCTCCTTGTATGAGCTGAAAGTTTAGAGGGACGGCCAGGTCTTGGTAGATTTGCAGTGGTCTGATACTCCTTCCATTTCAATATTATCGCTTGCACAGTGCTCCTTGGGATGTTTAAAGCTTGGGAAATCTTTTTGTATCCAAATCCGGCTTTAAACTTCTCCACAACAGTATCTCGGACCTGCCTGGTGTGTTCCTTGTTCTTCATGATGCTCTCTGCGCTTTAAACGGACCTCTGAGACTATCACAGTGCAGGTGCATTTATACGGAGACTTGATTACACACAGGTGGATTCTATTTATCATCATTAGTCATTTAGGTCAACATTGGATCATTCAGAGATCCTCACTGAACTTCTGGAGAGAGTTTGCTGCACTGAAAGTAAAGGGGCTGAATAATTTTGCACGCCCAATTATTCAGTTTTTTATTTGTTAAAAAAGTTTGAAATATCCAATAAATTTCATTCCACTTCATGATTGTGTCCCACTTGTTGTTGATTCTTCACAAAAAATTACAGTTTTATATCTTTATGTTTGAAGCCTGAAATGTGGCAAAAGGTCGCAAAGTTCAAGGGGGCCGAATACTTTCGCAAGGCACTGTATAAAGCACTTGAACACAGCCGAGGCCAACAAAGTGCTTAACATAAGATACAATTCAAAACATCTAAAAACGTGACAACTACAATATTAAAATACCAATAAAATAACATAAAAGAACCAACATAGCAAAATAACAAAATACTATCAACCAAAACTCAGCCCAAACAGAGTCTCATAGCATATCAAACGCCAAAGCATACAAGTGAGTCTTCAAGTAAGTTTTAAAAATAGCCAACGAGGCGGCCTGCCTGATGTAAAGGGGCAGCGCATTCCATAGCTTAGGAGCCACAATGGAAAACGCTCTGTCCCCTCTGAGTTTACGCCTGGCCCACGGTACCTCAAGCAAGAGCTGGTCAGCTGATCTGAGGCACCGAGAGGTGAGTGGCCTTGGCCATACTAGTCATTACAAAGCTGTGCTGTCTATAGCATAATGTCTTTTCAACTTAAGTATCGTTTAGCTAAATGCTGATAAATGCCAAAGCTGTTATGGTGATATTTATCAGTGTGTGTTGATATTTATAACATATGATACCTGCAACATCAGTAAAATATTTTTACTTTTGATTTATTTACTTTTGTCAAACAATAATTCAGCAAACTATCCACCATTAACAAGTTCTCAGCATCAAGGTTGTCAGCCTTGACACAAGGCACAACATCAGCACTAAACACCTGTTGCTGAATTCAATACTGTACAATGTAGAACTTGCAACCTGAGCAGGCTCCCCACTCAGCATTTGGACTATTACAACAACATGCAACATATTGTCACAAGCTAGGTATCAGTTCTCAGGTGTCTGTGGTGTACGCAAACATCACACCAAATGGGCTATAATCTTGCCACTATGGAATAAATGGCCAAAAGATCAAACATCAATTACGGTGGTCATCCTAAAACTAGTGAATATTGATTATGGGTGCAAAATGTATTCAAACTAACACCATTCTGAATGTAAATCATAAGATTTTACAGTAAATTTAATTAACTGACAACACAGTAAAAATTGCCAGTAGACACAACATCTGAAAATAACAAAACAATGTCAAAAACTGTACAGATTGAAGAAGTTTACAGAAAATAAAAATGTTCTACCAAATATTTCTACCAGTGAAAACTGGAACAAAGCTCATCAGTGACTGGCACCATGTTATCTGTAAGCAAATTAACCACTATGAATGTTACCTCTTCATGATCCATGGTCATATATTAATTTTGGTGAAGCTGCATCTGTGAATGATGAACTCTTTCCTCAGTGGTGAAAGTGTCCTTAGCCTAGATGGCAGAAGCCAATGAACCCATCTCAATTTGCACTGACCACCAGATCCTATCCTCAAGCTTCATCACTCCGACTGTTGTGGCACTTCATCCATGACAACCTCTTTTGTCCTTGAGTTCTCCTGTAAAACACCAGATACTTTATAACAACGCTGTCAAGTCCTGTCACAACCGGCAGACACAAGCATGGAGATTAGACTATGCAAAGCTTCAAGATGATTAGATGTGTTTGCTCTGCTGCAATTTTATTATGAGCAACTTTACATGGACAGCAGTAAGGGAAAAAACTCTTAAGCGGGTTTCCCCCCCTACTTTCAGTTGGGTACGCTGCTTTTAGAAACAAAATCTAGACTATTTCCTTTCTATGTGAATAGTGCTACTATTTTTCTTTCCAAACAACTGACGCCTTTCACTTCATGTGGGATTAAAAATCTTAATTTCCCACCTAACCAGCTCCCCAAAATGTCTGACGAGGAGGAGCAAATGAGGGCTTTGGTAAAACAACAGCATTCCTTTTGGCAACGCAACCTCAATAAGCAGAAATGAGATATTAATCACTGTACTGCTGGCCACGCTGTAGTATTAAGATAGTGAATAACTAACAATTACCTACAGCGCTAGCTAGTTAGCAAAGTCAGCTCTAAAATTACCGTAAAATACTTCGCGTTCAGCTAACGCTAGCTCGCCATCGGTAGCCGTAGCTTTATCCGGTGGTCGCATGGCAGTAACTCGTGAACGTCGTAAGGTTTTCGTTGTGATAACTGAAGACTTCTGCTTACACGCTAACTTGGTTGAGGTGGTGAAGCTGATTATATATTGTTCAGTTAAAGTTTTGCCCACCTTTCCATTAGTAACAGCGACTAGAAAGCCGAGTCCTGAGGACAGGCGTGGCGGAGTCAACTGGCTTCTAGTGGCACCAAGGCAACGGACCGTACCATTCAAAAGATGCGTAGGGGGACAGTCGATCAAGAAAGTAGCAAACAACAAGTTGTTGGCGTTTGTTATTTTTTTGGTAAAAGTTTGAAAGGAATACAGTTGTTGCCTAAACGACAATAAAATTCGTCTAGGTGTTATTAAGCAGATAAGATTAAGATAATAATAATAAATCAGTTTGTATGTAGACTATCATAAACTGTGAGCCTATGAACCTATACAGTCTCCACCAACATCAGTATCATGCTTTATTCACTATTCTTTTATTTATTTGTTTTTTCGATGAAACCTTTCTCATTATTGGTCCAAGGATGTAGACACCAGTGGGTAACAAACCTAAATCTTATCCTCCTGGGAGGAGAGGTATCAGGATTCATATTAGAAGGTTTTGAATTTATAACATGACATTTCGCATGAATATTTGTAAAATGAATGATGAGATACTGGTATTAATATAGGCTGCACTTTTTCAAGTACAGAAATTTCTTCTTTTCTTTCTTAACCTAGATGTAAATATATAATTGGTGTTTTAAAAACGTTTTAATTTGCTGTTTTGCTGTTACTTCAACTGATCTTTCTATGTCAACTATGCCCTGCCCAGCTGTTATCTGTGTGACCAGTGCACCCTGAACACTAATGATATTCTGGTGTAAAAATGTGAGCTATGTTGCAGCTGTGTGTTTATTTTTCCTATCTACCCAAACAAGACTGGGATCATAAGTGGATGACAAATGGTAGAATTCTCATTATATAGAATAACCCAGGTTGACTCTTTACAAAGGAGGTCTTTTCATGTGGTTTTATGTGCCTCTGCTGCTCATGGGTGGGTCTCATTTGAGTCTTTTTTCGGTAGTGATGTTTTACTTAGAGACTACGAGCCAGAGCAAAAAGGACCTCTGTTCTCCATAGAGGAAATGGGCGTTCTCCTTGGAAATTTTGGATGAAGTTATTGAAAAACATAAGGGGGGTGTGGTAAGGCTAGAAAAGAGAGGACCAGTGAGAGGGGCACAGAGTCATAGAGAAACTCCTGAGACTGGATTCAGAGGAACAGGCAAAACCTGGGGTAAGTAATTTTCTTGTCTTTTCATGGAATAAATATCTTGCAGAAAGATGTCATTGTACTGACTTTTGCATCACATCTAAAAAAAATGCTCTAAAAGTAATGGGTAGCAAAGTTATGTCATCAAAAGATTTTTATTATCATGCGTATTATATGCGATAAGATAACTTATTTGAGCAATCTTGCAGCAGAAAAGGATAATGTTACATCTTCTATCTTTGTTTCACTGTTCTTGTTTTTCCTTTTTTTTCCCCTTTCATGTGATGGATGTAATCTAGTGTAATGACATAATTTGACAGTAAGTGTGATTCCACTGCCCACCCAAATAGACCTCTCCTTCAGATAATGATCTTCACAGCCAATTTCATCCTGTTGCTTATGTCCCTCTATGTCTATGTGTTATTGTGAACTGGAATTTCTGTCACCACAGCTACAATATCTTTTTTTGGTGTTCAGCACTTCTAATGTAGTTGCAAAGTCAGTTCTGTAAAATCGTTGGGTTTTCCTCAGACTTTATTGCTCTCTATGTTTACAAGTGGAGCAGCTGTAATGCAGTCTGAATGTAAGTTGAATTACAAACTTGTTACTCAATGAAAAAAAACACAACCACTCAGAGGAAAGAGAGGCTAACTGTGCAAATATTTGGCACCATTTCGTTAGGCCGCGCAGGAATTCCACAGATTTGCTGTATGATGGCAACACAGACCAGTCAAAGAGAAGTTGTACACATAACTCATTGCACTCTGTTTTGAAGTGTGGTCTTACACAACACAGAGTATACTCTGTTCAGCTACTCAGATGTCCTCAGAAAGTTCCCCAAACACTGATTTTCACTGTGGAACTGACAAATCAAATCTCTCACACATTATGTCCTTGGTAACTGTAATGTCAGGATACTTTAATTTAAAGTATTCATTTGTTTTTGGCAGGAAATTGAAAAATGGCATGCCTGCTTATGTTTGTGACCCTGCTGCATCTTATCACACTGGCCATGCTGTTCATTGGAACCATGGAGAAGGTGAAAGTCATATTCAGGACATAATATTTTTTCACTTTAACTGTATTATTTCAAAAGTACAAATTATCCAGCTGTGTGGGACATGTCAAATCTCTCTTTAAAGTCCTGGTGGGTGTGGGATGGCATGGAGAACTCAGACCTATGGTACAACTGTAGGTTTGACAACTTCACAGGAGCCTGGTTGTGTGCATCCTCCAAAAAAACTGGTAGGCAACTGTCATTTTGTATATCTCCATACATGCATTTTCAGCAGTTCTTTGTCACAGGTAAAGCCTAAAAACTGGGACTTTTTTACATATGGAAACTGTTTTATTTCTCAGAGTGGCTTCAGACAGTGCAGGTCCTGATGGTTCTCTCAGTAGTCTTCTCTTCCATTTCCTTCTTGGTGTTCCTGGGTCAGCTGTGCACCATGTCTAAGGGTAGACTCTTCTGTGTCACTGGGCTATGTCAAGTCTTTGCAGGTAACACTGGCCTGGAACAGTATGCTGCTGGCATGTTTTTGATCAGACCATTTAATAAGGGTGATATGTGTTCTTATAACTAAAGAAGGGAAGCACATGTCTTAAGGAGCTACGGTCCATAACCGAGTCAGCGACTTTTAAGTCAACTCTAAAAACCCACTTTTTTTAGACAGGCTTTTGGTGCTTAACCCGCCTTAGTTGCTCCGAAGGGACGTCTTTTAACTTGTTGTTTTAAGCTATTTGTATCCTGATATGGAAGCTTTTTACTGCCCCTGTTTTGAACATCTGTGTTCTATTTTGCTTAGGTCTTATTGTTTTAGTAGTGTTTTTATTAGTTACACATGTTCTGCTGTGAAGCGCTCTGTGCTCCGTTGGAGTTGTAAAGTGCTATATAAATAAAGTTTTTTTTATTATTATTATTATTATTAAGTTCATGGTTGGGAACTAAACAAAGTTTTTAGAAACAGGCCCTGTGTATTTCAGGTATATCAGAACTGTTGAACAGTATCAATGCATAAACCATTAGGTTTAGTTCAAATAAAGTACCATTTCTTATTGGACTATTTTGTACCCTTACCATTTGTACTTTATAAAAAGAATAGTTTATTACCAGCAACAAAGACTTTAAATACTGGTATACCAATTGGGTGTAGTGACATTTGTGTAATATGATGGATCAGATATACACCTGAGCCCAATTATGATAACAAATGTGCCTGTTATGGAAGATCTACAAAGTGTCATAGACCTATTTTTTAAGTGTCTATACAGAATGAGTAACACAAATAACAGCCAGCTTGCGGATGTTAACAAAAAGTTAATATGTTGTGATGTATTTATTTTGTTTTGCCCACTCCATGTACTATTGTTGTTGTTCTAGTAAAATATTAATGTCTCTATGTCTATGAAATAAAGCAGGTTATAAACTTTGCAAAACAATATTCTTACATATTCTGCTCCTAAAACAATATACTGTATGCTTTCTTTTAGGTCTGATGGCCTTTTCTGCAGCGCTCATCTACACATTACACCTTAAGGAAATCCTTCAGGATTCCAGAGAGCTGACTTCAGGACACTTTGGCTACTGCTTCATCCTGACTTGGGTGTGTGTCCCTTTGTTGCTGTGTAGTGGTGTCATATACGTCTGCCTATGTAAGAAAGAGTGACCAGAAAAAAGGAAAACAATATCAACAATCTTATTGTAGAAAAATAAATAAAATGAGCTGATGCTGCTTAATATGCAATGGTAATTGTGCAGGTGTCACAGAGTCACAAATGCCTACGTTAGGATTTTTACTCAGGCTTGGGTTAATATGATTATATTTCTGAATTGTATACATCTTTATTGGAAGAATTATCAGGGAATAATTGCTTATCTCTACACTCATCCAATATATATAATGGTAACCATCTGTTTTAAGACATTTTTAATAGAAAAAGGTTACGTAATCCCATGCTTTCTGGGGTTGACCATTTGGCAAATACAAAAGCCGCATTTTGTTTTGTTTTATTGTGTTGTGGACATTATGTGCATGTTTATTTTTGTACCCAATACATGTATATAATATATTTAGTAGCTGCTCATAATAAATACAGCACCACACAGAAAACATAATGTGTGCAAGTCCAGTGAATGTAACCTATTTCATCCTGCTTTTTTCATTTTATTAAAGACTGCACATATAGGCTACCAAATAAATCAGTAAATTACTAGTTACTGTTTAATTATATTTATAATGTATTTGTAATATATTTGTATGTCTATTCCAAATTGTCTACATCAGTGTTTTGTATATAGCTAGATATGTAGAATTGGGTTTCTAAGCACAGGAGAGGGAAACTACTGACGTTGTTGCCATAGCGACCGTAAACTCAGCTTTTCAGCAACTAGCGTTAGCTACTCTTATGTTGTAAAACTAATCGTGTCGCGTGTTTACCCATTTTAACTGGGCTGTCTTGTAACAATGGATGCTGAAGATGGATGCTCCAAGATTATTCCTCTTGCCTTACCTAAAGGAGTGAAAAAGTTATGTGAACTGTGTCAAAAAGAAGCGCATCTGCAGTGCACCAAGTGTCGGGTAACTTTTTACTGGTAAGATCGACTTGTCCCAGCTCGCGAAAAGCTAAGGCTGCAAATGGATATTAGACCGTTTATTTGTGAAAGTATTATTTCCAGATGGCACAAGTCACGTTAGTCCTGTGTTGATTGTGTGTGAATGTGGTCAAAACATATCCACGGTTACGACGCTAGGTGGAAGTGTTCGCCATATTTCTTCTTTCACAGCAAAAATCACCGAACACGTCAGCATGGGGGGGCGTTCACGTGACTGTGTCGTCGGTGGGTTGGAACAGCTGGAAATAAGAAGACCACGGATTTTGTTGTTTATGTTACTATTAACGAATTGTTACCCGTGTCAATAGTTTGAGCTGGTCAAGCTTGTTTATAAAAAGTAGAAGAAAGGAGAGCTACTTGGAGCTAGTGTTCTAAAGTCAGGCAAGTCAATCAAGTCAGACAAATCAATCTGAGGATAAAAGGCAGTGCTCTGTGGTAATGGTATGAAGCTGTTAAGGTCAAGAGACAAAAACTACCAAGGCACTCCTATTATAAAAAGGTTAACCTTTTTCCACTTGTTTATATTGCCTTTGGCATAGCTGCAGACTCTGTTACACATAATAAGGTGGTGCTTGGTGGAATTCCAGTAGGCACAGAAAATTCCGCCCTGCAAGGATCTATTTACGGATGAGTCACATAGACACATATGTACACTTAACTGTGCCTGCTTTCCTTTTCCTAGAGGGGAGAAAACAAGTATTTTCACCAGAAATCAAATGTACTGGAATATACAGTTAGCTGCTGTTTGTCAGAGTAGCATATTTTTTGTTACTGGTAAATAAAACTGTAAAGCAGTTACATTGTTAGGGGTGGAATGGTTAAGTGGCAGTCTAATGAGCCATAACATATGACCAGGCTGCTGGCAGACTAGTATCCTGGCTAGTGTTTGTGGTGACTGTTTACTATCAGACAGATTGAATAGTAGTATGAAAATAAAAGTGCAGTTGTCTCTACCATTGTCTGTGTATGGCAATATGTGCACACACAGGCTATGTCAGTGGTACTGCTGATGTGGCATGTCCGGATCATTGCCCGCTCACTGCTCAGGTCAAAAAAACACAAATACATTGTAGTGAAGACATCCTCCACAGTAGAAAAAAACACAAGGAAAACCAAGACAGTTTCCACTGAAATGTGCAGCAGAGGAGTGCCAGATGAACCAAATTACAGACCAGTTATATAATACCATACAATTTAGTATGGTCTCTGCTCCCTCATATGTATTTCATGAAGAGAAATAGAAGCACTGCTTTGTGAACGTTAGCAGAATTCAAAGTTACTTATTTACACTCTATATAAACATTTCACTGTTAATAGTAAGCCTACACATTGAGCCACATTTTAAATTTTTTACCAAGGCAGTTGTTTTACATGTACAGTAGGTTGCAGCTCAGTTGTTCAGATCATAACAACAAAAGTAGGTTCTTGATCAGGGGCTTAAGTCCTGAGTGAACACTGGCCACACCGTGCCCAAGGGGGAGATCAATGTGCATAAAAAAGCTAGTTTCAGCCAAAGCAATCAGGACCATGTGGCTCAAAGCTGGCTCTAGGGAAAAAGGAATCAGTGGGAGAGAGTCTATAAGGGAATATAAAAATTAGTTAGACTGTTTATTATTTATTTATTGCATTCCCCAGTGATGCAGAGCACCAGCAGGCTGACTGGGTGGGGATCCACGAGAGAATCTGTCAGCTGCTTGTTCCCATTCGCACCCCGACGATCTTCAGTCTCCAGCAGGCTGGCCGCATTGAAACCCGAATTAAAAAGGTGAGGATGTGTGTGATGCACTGGGACCACATATGAAAGACTATGAAACATACAGTATAGACATCTTGTTTTGATTTTGAATCCATAAGGATACATTTCACACTGTCACTGTCAAATAAGGCAATGCTAAGAAAAATGTGCATTCGGAAACTATATCTCCAGGCCATGACAGGAATTTCAATTGGTCTGATGTTTAGCTTTCAGGTGTTACAGTTTAGCTTCATATGATTCACATTGCCCAATCCAAACCTGAAGTACACAGTAAACTGGTGGAATTAAAAACAACAGCAACAGCAGCGGCAGCAACAAAGAACTGCATAGATTCTGAAAGAAATCTCATACAGACAGTCCTACCATTCAGGAAGCAGTAATGGAAAAATCATATTTAAATAACATAAACACACTAGAATCCGAATCTCTTGGAGTTGAGCTTTTATGGAGTCTGTAATGTACTGTGCCTAACATAAGCACAGGAACCTGCTTCTACTGAGCAAATCCCATAGAGGAGAAAAACCTGAAAAAGTTTTTGAACAGCAGAAAATGCAGGTATCTTTGGTTTGGTTCCTTATACAGGTAGAGCTGATTGAAATCTGTAGGTTGGTGACTCAGGGCAAGTTGTCGGAGGGCAAATACCAGGAGGCTCTGCCTGCCGCCCAGTTCTGCCTGAGGTGCTCCATAGACGTCCATGGCCCCAGTGCTGTTCAACTGGTCCCTGCTTTCCTGCAGCTGGCTGAGGCCAACATGGGTGAGGGGGAGCATAAGGTGGTTTATCAGTTCAGATGGTCTCTTTTCTCCTTCATATACTTGATGTCGATTGTATGACTGTGTGTCTGTCTGTTTATATGTAAATTTGTGTGTGCATTTGCATTTTCAGGTTTGGGTAATCTAGCTGTAGTGATGGAGCTCTTGTCCCAGGCAGAGTGGGCGGTGTTGAAGAGCCCAGAATGTGGCCCCGCAGTTCGCCACCAGCTGCACAGGATCCTAGGCCGCCTCCACACAGCTACTGGAAACCTGGAGGCAGCTCTACTTCACTTTTCAAATGATGTCTGTGTCATAATTAATACACTCACCAGAAATGGCTTCAGTACATTTTCAGCTTTTCAGTAACTTTATTGATATTCTGGATATATGAGGACTTGTCTCACTGCTTATTTTAAACATGAATAAGATAAAGCATATGTGATGTTCATTGTTCATTTCTCAGGATGTACAATCTTTTGTTCCTTTAATGTTATGCGCATTCATCCAACACAAGAAATCCCCACTGTATATACATATACCTTGTAATTAAACTAATTTCTCTGATGTTTTCAGATATACTTTGCCAGTGAGGCGTATGGTCTGCATAGCACAGTCACCTGTGGTGGCTACTTTCTCATGGCAAATGTGTTTGCTAAACAGGGGAGGATGCCCATAGTTCGTTCCTTGTACTCTCAGGTAAAATGTAACAGTTGCGGTGTGCTGCTATTGCTCATAAGACTAAATCTATTTATGTGTTTCATGGTTTATCTTCTTTTTCTCACATTGTAGGTGGTACATACTTGGCACTACCACCTGACCGAACATCTTAGGACCCAGGTCCAAAATGTTGAAAATCCTGTCACGGTGTTGGAACCCTGTTATGGTACATCAGATATGCACAAAATAAGTGTCATATACATCCATATTAAAGTAATATAAAACCATGCATTTCTTCTCAAACTAACCAGATCTACTATTCGGTTGGTGTATAGTCCAAAACAGACATCACCCATCAATCATTTTATTTGTTCAGTAAACAGCAGAGACCTCCACTGATATATTACTGAAAGAATAAGGTCAACAGTGCTTTATTTAGCTCAGCCGTCTTGTTGTGCACTCTGAAGGCTAAACCCCAGATTTACAGACAGACCAAAATTTTATGACTCTGTGCCAACAAGCTACAAGTTTACTGTTCAGACCTCTACAAACCTTACTCATGCAATCCGGTGAAAGCCATGTGAATTACATGCATAAGTACTATTTGTTGTCAGTGTTAAGTGTACAGTGTATTTATGCCCAAGAACATTAGCGTCATTGTCTGTATCCATGGTTTTCAATCAGATAACTCCCAGCAAGCTGAAGTGGACAAGATGCTAAGAACCATTTTGGAGTTTGCGCAGAGTGACTCCAGAAAAGACTCCACTCAGATTGCGCTGGCGGCCCACTGCCTAGCCATGCTGTGGTTTCTGGGAGGAGACTCTCTAAAGGTGAGTCACCTGATGAGGTCACCAGGCATTAACGGTCTGACACATTGACACAGTTCCCCATCTCCTCCCTGTGTGCCTCCTGTGGAGTGCCATCTCCAGATGGCATTATCTGTGATCCGTAAAGCTGCAAGGATGAGGTGGGATTTAATGGGAGCTGATGTAACTGGGAGCTGATGAGACTGTTTTAAGTCTAAGTTCAGTGGGTCTGGGCAGGGGAAGGAAAAAGGATGGGTGAGATCTTATGGTTTAGCTCAAGCAGCCTCTGTCTAGCAAGCAGTAGACACATAAATAGACACAATGCCATAGAGTTACACAAATACAGCACTATGATTATTTTATGTTTGACTGTTGTGTTTTTTATCTGGTGGTTTAGTGGGTTGTTAGTCCTGGATGAAATATAGCCGGGGTTTTTTTATTTTTATTATTATTTTTTTTTACTTTACCAGCAGCTACACCAGACTTCCAAAGTACTGGAAAAAACTGAACATACAAGTTTTTGTTTTTAATGGGGCCTTTCCTGTGAGATGCTCAGAGACACTTCTACTGTGGGATGGGTGGGTGGATGCTTCTTGTCGTGTGTATGTCAGGGTACCCTGGCTGATGGATGATTTGTTCACGCTCTGTGCCAACAAGCTACAAGTTTACTGTTCAGTCCAACTGTCATTTTCCTTAAATTTACTGAGCTACAAATGAATTAACTAGTGCTGTACTTTGAAAAGTACATCACTGTAAGAACATAGAGTTGTTGTCATTAGGGGGTTGTGGTTAGATTGTTTCACTTTACACCTGTAATTCACTACTGGGTGGATGTAACATGAAAACATGTAACACATATACAATGCATATTTCCAGCTGTTCCAGCAGTTAGGAATCTAGCTGCAAGAATTCCATGGTCACTGCAGACCTCAATGTTTTGGCATGCTTGCATCTATTCATGAATGGTTTTGTCAGCACTATCAAACAATACACCTTTATATCCTGATTTTCTCTTGATTATAAAGGACAGTACAGCTTGTCAGAAGGGTAAAGGATAAGTTACTCTGCAGGGTTATAGCCCAATTTTCAACAATTTGATTATATAATTCAGCTTTACTCTCCCCCAGACAGTCTAACAGCTGCAGCTGTTAACCTTGTTTCCGTTTGTGTTTCTGTGCCAGGCACTGGGATTTGGCAGCACGGCCCTGCAGGCTAGTCAGCTGATACCAAACCATGACCTGACAGAGCCTATCCAAGGCCTGCTGCAGCTGGTGAACGGTCTGCAGATTTGACCCACAAGCTGATTCTAACTGGTTACCATACCTGCCCTGCCCATCAGTGATCTGCTCCATCAGGCCATCTGTTCTGTCCCACAACCATTCGCCATGTAAACGCAGAAACTGTTCATGAGTATGGGTTCATCCCGATGTTCTGAATTGATGTTGTAAGTGGATAATGAAAAAACACTGGGGAGCAGAAAATAACTTCTGTACTGAATTGTACAGAATAAGCAAATAAAAACCCATTTTGATTGTGAAATTTGTCTCTATTTGTTCTCTATTTGTGAATATTAAGTACTTTAAATTGTCTTTGTGTAGGAAAATAATCTTACCTTGCCTAGAAGCAGTACAAAGAGGAGTAGGTACATTTTCTTTGGTTTTGAATAATGACTCATCTTTATTTTAACCTAAAAAAGAGGGATATATACATCATTACATCATTTTGCACATTTATCAATGACATGATTTGGGGGTCTATTTTGTAACACTCTTAGAACAGAATAATGCTGTGAGCTAAAACCATTCCAGTGTTTTGCTTTGCTCGTACCTCCATCTCCAGAGCCTCTTCATCAAGTCAACATTTGCAGATATACTGTAATTAAAGATTTCCAGTGTTTACATACTATCAACAGAGCTGAAGCATAAACACAACATTTTCTTCCTGAAAATCAAAGTTTATTGTAAACCTTTATGCCAACCATGGTTTGTCTTAAGAGCACATTGACATAAAATGCACTGAATGATTCAAACAAAGAATAATTTCACTATTGGTGTTTTTTATACTAAATTATGCCAGTTTATTTATTTATTTAGGCATTTAAATTCACTTGTATGTACGGAAAGGGAGAAAAATGTGGAAACAACTGGATTTCCTCATATTCCCGTTTTAATTTTTTAGCCAAATATACATTAATGGCAGTTTGGAATTAAATAGTAACCTTGTGCTTTGTTGTACACAATAACTATTGCAGAGGTCAGTACACTTTTGGTCATTTCATGATTTTCACACTTTTTTCCCCCTCCCGGTCACTAGCATGCAGTACCCTAGCTTTTTTCAGTAGCTTCCATGCATTGTAGTCGTTGTATTATGGCCACTGAAGACCAAGCATTAAGAATCCTGCCTGAACAGGGACCTTGCTCAAATCAGTTTTCCCAGCAGAAACCAGATGATGTAAAGGCATTTAGTGTATAGTTAAGTGAACTCTCAGTGTGCAAACAGATGATGTATGAACAACGGATTAAAAGCAAAAACAAACAAACAAAAACAAAAAACAAGGGCTGCAAGAGAGAAATGATTGCTTTAATCTTTCCTACAGATGGCTATTTTAATGTTGCAAAATCATAGGTGATTTTTGATTTACACTTATGTACACAATGTGGAATGATGCAGGCTTCAATACAACTACAAAGACAAAAAAAAACAAAAAAAAAGGGAGGGGCCGGGACAACACTTGGAGATGGTTCACCCATATACTGACTGTAAGCTTTTAAGTCTGAATGTGACTTGATGACCAAGCCCTATGGTCTTTGCATTTCACAGTTTATTTGTCAGACACTTTTATTATATAATAACCAAACAACATCACAGTAGTGTCAATGGTGTTATTCTCTCAGTGGAGCCACTGTGATCACTTGACAGCAGACAAAGTAAAAGCTGCCTTTCCTGTTTTCTGCCGGGTTGAGATTTGGCACCCTTAAACGTACTCACGTTAAGATTCCAGACAGTAAAGTCGGGCCACAAAAAAATAAAATAAAATAAAATCAAGCTTCACAGTGGTTTCACTTTATTGAGACAACGTTAGTGCACACAAACCACTTTTTCTCTTTAAAAATACCATAAATTAGGAAGAAAACAAGCAAGGAAAAAAAGTGCATGTTAACCATGGTATACACCACATTGTTTTATACTGTAGTTTACAAGCTTTTTTTCTTTGTTGTTTGTGTCTTTTTGTCTGCTTGTAGATATGTTATTATGTTTTTGATGTGACTAGTTCGGATGGATGCGTCATGTCTTTGGGGGTCAGGGGGTGAGATCCAGGCTGCTTCCCTGAGTTATGTGCAACAGAAAGGGATACAACCTAAAGGCAAGGATGTCACAAAGGGGAACAACATAGGATTTGCATTTGTGCTTTTGATCAGAGCTGTAAATAATTTTTAGGCATTTGGATTTACCCCAGAGTACTCTACCTCTGTGTTGATAGGTATTTCAGAAGGTATACGTGAGGTAAATCAAGATAAGCTCTTGGACTTATGTCTGGACTTCATTCCGTCTTTTTCTAAGGAAAGAAAAATGTACATTCTGTTCAATGAGACTGCAAAAATATAGTTTCCATCTTTTATTTGTACATCATGCCAACATACTGTGGGTTTGGATACTTAATTTTTACTGAAGGAAAAAATAACACAAGGTCAAAACAAAAGTAAACTGTACAAATCATGTCAAAACACATCTAATCCAGAAATGTTAGCACCAAATTTCATTTTCATCCGTTCAATACTGCAGGTCTGTACATACCAGTCTGTAACCAAACAGCTTATGGATATTTTAATGTTGGCAGTTATTTCAGCCATTCCAGTTTCATTAGCCGACACAAGCACTGAAACTAATTCAGTACCATAAGATTAACAAAAGAGCTAAAAGCTAATTAAAAAAAGTCACAGCTACATTTTTAGTTCCTAGGCAAAATGAGAGGGAACAACTGGTAAATCTGGGGCCATTCGACAACCAAGAGAATCCTGCACTGCATGTTTGAATATCTATGTCATCCTGTGGTAGTGAGATCACTTTTTTGAGGTATATTTTGCTTGTAGGTGTAGACACAGCTTTCACAATCTGTCTCGTGTATCCTGACTATGTCATCTGAGTGAGAAAAACAATGCATCTGTTTATTGTAAAGTGCAAGTCTTTTAATGAATGTTAAAAAGCAGCAGACTGATGCTGTTGGCAAGGCTGATCACACAACCTATCTGGGAATGAAAAATTTAAAATCTAGTCATGGCACTCAGTTCATTTTTTATATCCCATGTTAAGACTCTTAAGCAGAACAATTATTTGTTATTTCTACTGTTTTGCACAGGTTAGGGCTGTTTTGCGTACATTTACATTAGCCTGCTCCACTCACAGTGAACATTATGGCCACCGTTGTCAGCACCCACGATTTTCTGGTGCTGTGTATTCTGGATTCACAATATTCCTGTTTACACATGAGAGAGAACTCAATGACACCACAATGTCAGACTCTTATTCACTGTCAGTGTAGAAGCTCCACTTTTAATATCAGTGATTCAAATCTGGGATTTAGAGAGACAAAAGTGAATCTGGAACATCCGGGTTCCATTCCAGAATTTAGGATGCTAGTGCCTATAATGAACATCACTCTCCATAGGATTTAAAGCTACAGCGTTGAAAGAATGAATTTTAAACAGATTCTTGGTAAGTTTTTTGTGGATACAAATGAAACCACTTTACAACGACACAAGTACTTGTAGCTTTATTTCATGGAAGCTGTAGCTTTCCAAATGCTAAAAAATAAACTGCTGATGAACTTTAGTAATATCATGAAGACTTTAACCTCTTACAATCAATGCTGTAGTGGTCGGCAGTTGATTTTAAAATATGGAAACAAATCCAGAGTGGCACACTTTGGATTTACATGTCATGTAATGTGGCATGGTGAATGAATTCCCTATTTTAATTATTATGAATTAGAACAGCAATTCAGCTTGACATGAAATTTTTCCATCTCCAGTTGCTACAAGATGGTCCTCACCCTGTTCGGTGTCCTTGATGGGAGCACTACATTGCTACATTGGAGCTGACAGTATAATATGCACACCTTGAGGATGTATCCCTCTCCCAAGGAGCTAACCACTTGACAAGAAACACTTCATTTTGCTTCCAATCCACTGAACTTGACTATAGTATCAACAGGAAACTCTTTTTATATCAACACAGATTCACCTTTAAATAATGTTATCATACTGAGAGGATAAAAACATGGCAAGTGTAAGACTTTCTGAGAATCCCACATTTGGTCACTTTCACTCTTATAAAATGGCATAACAGAAAGTAGAAGAGGCCAATTTAGCAGTCGTCTTATGCTCTATGTCCCACTCCCACCACCTTGCTGCAGTGTAAGCTAAGTTAGAATAGTGGGGTTTATAGTTTGGGAGTAGAGATGCAAAAAACAGGAGAGTCAGGGGAGCAGCCTCAGATCTTAGTTGTTATTGAAAGGAGTTAGTAGGAGAAGGCTCATGTTTTGGTGTTTGTATTTCTGTGGTTGGTTCTGTATGCATGTTCTCTTTGTCTGCTCTCGTTTTGCATTTAACACCCTTAATACTTAAAATGTCATAGGTTTTGAAAAGATAATGTGTTTAAAAGGAATGCCTGTTGCCATGCATACAGGTGTGTGTATGTGTGTTTTTAATATGTATTTCTGTTGGTGTTGTGTGTGTGTGTGTGCATGAAGCTGTTTGAATCTCACTCAGTCAATAACTTGATCTCGTTGGCAAGGAGGGTGTTGAAGTTGTAGGCTGGATCAGGGAGACTGGGCAGGGTGGGGGTTGTGGACTGGCGGGGTGAGGACTGGGAGGGCTCGGCCAGCTCCGGGTCACTCTCACTGGAGGTAGAACCCACGCTCATATTACAGACGGCCTCGGGCAGCGAGCCGTTGCCAGCGACTATGGGGCACACCTCAGGCTCACTGCTGGTCTCACTGGTGCTTGACACGACAGACAGCAGGGACATCTTACGGGTGAGGCGGCTGGGGAGCATTGACAGGGCAAAGTCGGCGACAATGCCTGCCACATCCATGCCACAGGCCTGGTCGAAGGCGATGAAGCCCACATTGGCGTTGGCCTCGCAGACCACAAATGAGCCATCATTGAGCTGCAGGAGATCAACGCCACACACATCCATCCCGAGAATGTTAGACACCTCTATGGCCAGCTGCTTGCCCTCCTCGCTCAGGGGGTACATCATACCTACACCACCTAACCATCCAGAGAGAGAGAGAGCCATCAAGCTGGTTAATACTGACCACAATCTATGATTCATTCACTTCACATCATGTGACACTGTGTAATGAATAACTTCATTGCATCATAAAAAATAATTTTTTATAAATCCAGAACAAGCATAAAAAAGTCATGATTTAGGAAGAAGTTTGCTATTTTCAACATTCACTATCACATAATTATATAAATGCAGATCTGTTAACTTATGTCCTAAATACAGTATGTCACAGTGCAATACAGCCTCAGCTAGACCACAACTGTTCATGCTTGGATATTAAGACCAGCCTCATCATCTGGAAGGCTGTGCCAGTTGATATCTCAAGGGTAGATTCAGAACAAGCTTGCTGTACTGGCACTGTTTCTCACAACTGGTTTATGGAGCAGATGGAGTATTATACATCATCAAAAATTTAGAAAGCGCTTATAAAAACTACTGTCCTCATGGACAACAGGAATGATTACAGCAATCCAATGACCCCTTAAACGTGCCACACAAAGCAGGATAGGTACAAAATGTAACACAGACCATGTTTTTTGTTAATTAATAATTAATCAGGACTATCTAATAAGTAAAAATTTAAAACTGCAGTCAGTTTATTTTTCCAAAATGCTTAAGTTCTCCAAGAAAATTGGGGCCATTTAACAACACACTAGAAATAAAACACCAGAAAGCAGTCACTCAGTTAAAGACAGATGTCATATAATCCAAATAATCAACACATTAAAAGTAACCATATTAAAAACAGACTTGCTGTGTAAACTTAAGAACTGTTCTATATTGTTTGTCACTGGAATGAGGCAAAGGGCAAGGGAGTTCAGTAGTTATATATGTGTAATAATTCAGTGTGCCATGACTGACTCGCTGGTGTGTGCCTACCCAGGGAACAGTTGCTCTGCATGCGACCATCAGTGGAGCAGCGTAACATGGAGCCAATGATACGGCCGCCCACCAGGACCACCCGCACATCACGACCATGCGACTCCTTGACATACTCTTGGAACAGGTAGGGGGTATCGTGGCGGATCAAGTGGCACAGATCTATCAGATGGGGTTTGTCCCGTGCCAGGAACACAGCCTTACCTAGAAGAGTGGAGGAGATTTAACATCACGGAAGGAAGGAATGAAAAGAGAGTTTTCTGGACCTGTTTACACTAACATGAAGAACACTTACAGGGTGTAACATTGTGTAATATTAGCCAAGGTTGCATTACTGCCTCAAAGTTTTGCTGACAGTGCTTCCTGTGACTGTCTTGTGACAGTTCCTAGTTTACATATAAGGTACTGTAGGATATGGTTCTTGTTACCATTGCTAACTCTGAGAGACGAGACAGTCCAAGTAACTTCAAAACAGTGCTGATTTATTCAAAGGATCACAGGTAAAATTAACATTACACACTCAGGTATCTTGCACCTCCAAACTGCTCACAGGCAGATGTAAGATGAAAG